GGCGAGGGGGACACGCCCGACTGTCAATCAGACAGGTACAACACCTGGCGAAACAGAGACCAACTGTTGCTGCTTCCCTGTGCTGTGCTCCACTCCCCACCTACCTGCGGGCTGGTTGGCTGTGCGGTTGTGTCGTGTGTGCAAAATTTATTTCTAGCCCGCGGCGGCTTTCGTCCAAGGTGTTGTAAGGTACTGGAAAAAACGAAATCGGGCTGTCTTTGTCTATTTGCAGGGAGGGGGAGCCGAGAGCTCATGATGAATTGGTGCCCATTTAATGTTGCTGCACTCGAGCTGATGACGTTGCCCGTTGTATGTTGATGCGTGTAAACAAATCATTTAGATCTAGGCCTTCTTCTGCTCTCTCTCTCTCTCTCTCTCTCCCCCCTCCGTCGCCAGCCACTCTCGCCCCGCTGCTATATACAGTACCCGACAAGTTCAAACAACGCCACCGAAAACATGTAAAAATCTGACCACACGCACACGCACTCGGGGACACGGACATGGACTTGGACGTGGATGTTGAAGCAGAAATGGACTTGGATGAGGATGTGGTCGCAAGCAAAAAAAACTCGGCCAGGCGATGGCTGCTCCAATAACCAGCGCCAGCGACTCAACGTGCCCGTATTGATTATTGTGATGATCTTTGTGTGTGTCGCTCTCGCTGTGTATAAGTATGTGCGCTGTTGGTAATTATACAAGGAGCAGAAAGCGTTGTGCGGGACGGGGCAGATGCAACAGGGCGCTGTCATTTATTTTAAACGATTCCTTTACACATGTCGGAGGCTGTCGCCGTTGCCGTCGCTGCTGCTGTTGCCGCTGACGCTGGCATGCCAATCATTTCGCGATGATGAAGTGTGAGTGTGAGGCAAAAATGTTGTAGGCACTCGAACCCCAAGTATTTTGGGCCACGTCGAACAGGACATGATTGTGCAGGGTTTCGGCGCTGCTATGACAATGTCAGGGATACTGTTTTAACAGAATTCATGGCTAATTGTTTTGAAAACAAAAACAATTCCACTGCGATTTTCTTTATTTACTTCACGAGGAGACTTAATTAGTCCAATAATTAAAATCAATTTATTTTACTTACTTTAAACGAGTATTATTTTATTATTTAACGAGTACGAATGTTTTTAAACGAGTACGAATGTTACTTAAATTTGTAATGGAATCGAAAATTTAATAGAATTTTTAAATATTAACAGCGTAATCAGACATTATTGTAAATACAGTTGTAAGCATATTTTTGTGGCCTTCTTATTGTTTTATATTTTAACGTTTTGTAATTTACTGTTAATTCTTTTTTATTAATACATAAAAAGAGAAATTCTTGGAAAAATTCTACGATTTTGAAATAACTCTTCAATGGAAAAAAGTTTTAAATTTTTTATTGATATACAGATACAAATCAGTGGTTCCAAATATTTTCATATAAAGACTTTTTCAAACTTACCGCTTGCGAATCCATTATGCCAATAAGCTTCTCAATGCCAAATTTCGATTAGATAGCCCAGTATACAATATTTTTTTGACATTCGAAACCTTTTGCATTTTTGAGTTCGAAGCGAGCACAACATTTATCGGATTGGGTAAAGGTAGCTTTAAAATCAAAGATGTTATTGCGAATATGATAACTATCGGATATAGTGATCTGATTTTGATTTTTTTCACTAGGGTAAAATTTGATTGAATTCGATCAATTCTAAGAAAAGTTATTAGCGAAACAAATTCTCGCCAGTACAACCCCCACAAACTGCAGCAACAAGTTCGCTCTTCTTCTTCCTCTTTTTGCTGCTGCTTTGGGCGCATATAACTCAGTAACGGAAGTTTACCTGGGTACAGGGTATTACACTGTCGGGCTTGCTCGACTGTAGCGTTCTCTCTTGTTACCCTACGGGTACAAGGTATAAAAATCACTCTCGGATACTTCATAAACTATGTGGAATGGATAATCAAAAATATGTACAATATTTAATAGGCACATTAACAGGCACATATTCGTTTGATCAACCCTCGCCACCCGAGATACTTGTTTAAGCTTTCCGCCCATTCATCCATCAAAGCATCAATATCTCAAGTAGTTGGCTATGTATGCTTCAAGCAACAACAACAGTGAGTACAGAAAAGACCTATTCGTTCCACCTTTTTGTCAATAATTAATTTGTTGAAAATGCAACACAACGTCGGCCACCACCAAAGCCCCTGTCGGAGTTGGAGTAGGAGCCAAAGCCGTAGGCTGAGGACAGAGCGGCTCGTTGCATTATGCATGAGCGGCAGTAGTCGCGGTCGCGGTCGCAGGCTGGACTCGCCTGGGGGCCCTTGAGTTATGCGCTTTAGGGACGCCTTCAAGGTTGCCCCACGTCGGTGTCGTCTTGTCATCTGTTACCTTTTATCCGTCTGTTCGTCCATATGTCAGCAGTTGCGGACCAACTGACAGTCTGATTAAGTTACTAAAATGTTTACCGCTTGTTTTTCTAACTAATTTGCCATTAATTTGTTGCTGCGACGGCAGGAAAAGCCCCAAGTTGAACAATTTCCTTCCTGCGCACGCAATCGCTGTAGTCGCCGTCTTCGCCAGCGATGTCGCAACGCAAAATTTTTGGCACTGTCAGAATTCCGGGAAAGCCCCATATGCGCAGGTAACTGATGATGGTCAAACAAGCCATTCGGCCTGTGTCTCACTTAGCGTCAGCAGTCCATAAGCTATAAACCTTAAACGACAAAATGCAAATCGAAGTGATCAGCAGAAAAGCCAGCCGGGTCAGGAGAAGGGGCAGGGATAGGGGCAGCGCTAATGTGAAATTTTCACAAGCTTTGGATTTGCGTTTTCGTGCTGACGTTGTTTTTGGGCGGCTTTGACACGAGGACGGATTTGTTTTTGTTGAGGGAAACATGGGATTGTATGGTAGGCCGGGTGCCATGCAGCATCATCATCTGGCTCAGCCACAGAATCAGTTCAAGTCTGGGCTTGTGTGTCTAATATTTGCCTACCGCGTTGAAACAACTGCCAAGTTTCACATTCTAGAGTTCAGATGCTTGTGGGCTTCCTCTCTAGAGTGGCGCTCATGTTTGCATTAAAAGTCACGTGCCGGGAATAAAATGAACGCACAGATTTTTTTTGTCTGATACTGTCGCTCTTAATGCTTTTTATTCTCATTTGCTGTTCAATGAAATTCAAAAATCGAAATGCATAGAGCTGTGACAAAACGGACGGAGGCGGAGATGGAGTCATGGGTAGGGGCATCTCATCAATGGGCAGGCAGCACATTAATTAAGGCACAAAAGCTTATGTACAACATGTGAGGGTATGTGTGTGACGCTGGCAGCGCAGCTGACACTTTCGGGTCGATGCTTCGGGTGCCATCGTCTTCGGTCTAGAGACGCCCGCGTCTGCCGAAGAGCTCGCTGCTAACGCTGATGCTGACGTTGACGCTGTCGTCACTGCCTGCTGCGCGCTGCTCGGTTTTCTTTGCTTTGCCAACGACTCGGGCATTTTGTGTTTGCACGTCAACGCAGACGGAAGCACGAAGCCTTGCACCAATCTATAATACACTTCCGCCTTGCATACAATAGCAACAAAAATAACAATAAACAATAACGCGCGCGGTTTTCGAAGTGCGGGTGTGTGTGTGCGTGTGTGACAGTGTTCTTCCTAAATTCCTAAATAAGCGTTAAATCCAAACTTACAGCATCAAATGTGTTAGCCAAAGAAACTGCAATAAAGCTATTGAAGGTAAAAAGTGCGACGAATTAATTGCCCCCACCAAGCCAAACCCGCAGATGCTACAGGTGGCAATTTGGGCCAACGCTGTGTTCCAACGCTCCTACTCATGTGTACGAGTATGCTAATTGTGGTGGGGAACGCAAGTTCGCAGAAATGCGGCACAAAGTTTAATTGCTCAAAGCTGAAGCAGGCCAGGCAGCTGAGGGGGCGTGTGGCAGCCCCCTAAAAGCAAGCAATTAGCAAATCTAACAATTCCGAGAATCGATTTACCACTGCAGCCAAATTAATTGGCTCACCCCTGCATAAAAAGCGAGCCGGCGACAGCTTAAGGCACAAAAACGCAAATTGGGGATTTCGCAATGGGGGCGACAGCCGAAAATAATTTGTTGCTTCTTCAACTGAAGCAATACGACAAAAAGTATGAAAATAGGAATGAGGCAGTGAAGATGTCAGAAAGCGCCACCGAAAGTGGACAATGGTTTGTGTGTGTCAAAGGTTTGACAAGCTTTAATTGAACGGACAGAGTTGGTAGCAGGACGTGGATGCATGTGATTCTCTCAAGCAGTGAGGGGCAAAGCTAACGTGAAAACGAGTGACAGTGAAGTGGCAATATGGTCATAGATTCTGTAGGCTGTTTTTTCTCACAGCTGCCTATGCCGCATAAGCACAGTCCTATGTGGGCGATGGATATGTGAAGAAAAAGAGTTGAAACAAATGACAAAGAGCAGCCGGAGGTGCAAAGAGGAGTCAAGTTCGTCTAGATTTTTTTTGTACATTCATTTTGAATACGAGCAGAATTGTTGCCATTTGACTCAATAATTCAAGAATTCAAACAGCATTGCAATTGAAAAGAAAGGAACCCCTTTGGAGTATAGTTGGAATCAATGGAATGCTTACAAATTAGCTCCTTCTTATAAATACATTACTGTTTCAATTAGTTGAAAATTAATTTTACATGCAAAAAAATATATGTATATACTATTAAATCATCAGCGTCAATATTTGACATTTGGATTTTTTTTTAGAAATTCCTCGCTACTTTTGAAGAAACAGTATCTATTGAAAAATTTTAAAGAAACATTATCTATTGAAAAACTTGCGGCTTGGAGGAAAAACTCTTACCGAAATAAACAGTTTTCTTTACTTTTCGCAACGTCCTTTTCAACTGGGAATACGATATACATATGTACATAGCTATGGATTTAAAGGCTTAGGAAATGAGATGAAGAAACTTTGGTTTCACTGTATCTCGAAGTCACCCTGCTTGCTTCATGTCTGATCATAAGTATTCTGTGCATGAATACTGTACAAAAATACAAAAATCATAAGAAATTCTAAAAATCAACTGAAGTTATCGATGCGAATTAAAATGCGACGGCAAGTCGATTGCGCAACTCAATCTCCGCCGTCATCACCTCCAGCAATGCTCCTGTTCCTCCTCCTGCTCCTGTTGCAGGAGCTTCAAGCGGAGATCGCGCGTACATCGGTCGGTGGAAATCGTCTAATCGCTACCGAGTCCTCCTCTCCCTCAGCACGTTGCGCCCAACACCAGCACAAGTATCGTAATATGGTGCGGACCATAGACGATGTGGAGGACTTGGATCTGGATGTGCCCGTGCACATCGCACTGGATCAGCGGCAGAAGAAACGGTGAGTGTAGATACATATAGTAATATATATCATCTAACTAATATTCCTAAGTGCCTCGGCGAATGTGGCGCCGGCATCAGACACAAATCAAATTATGGCCAAACAAACAAGCAACACAAGACCAACTAAAGAAAAAACAACAACAATAACAACAGACCAGACAAAAAGTTAGAACCAAAAAAAGTGTTCCGCCAGAAACAAAAATAATTTATAACCACGACGTGTGGTAGCCAAACAAATCGAATCAAAATAAAAGAAAAGCAAAAAATAGCTAGCTAAAGATTTTTACACTGGCCATAAATATGAGTGTAGGTCTAGGCAAGGCATGTGTGTGTGTGTTCATGTGTTCCCGTTCCCTCATTTTGTTGGCCACACAGCTGCTGCTGCCAAATGGCAAGTGCCTTGGGCCTGGGTTCGGGTTTACGCTTGGGTCGTTGCCGCACATGGCGTATGAGAAACTTTTTATCCTCCTCATTTTCGGCGGGTCAGGAATAGTCGTCACGTTTTCGCCGCCGCCAAGGCTGAAGCAGGCGACAATGGAGGCAGGAGGCAACGGGCAGGAGGCAGTCGGCAGCAGGCTGACGCAGGCATTTTGTTTTAATATATATTTGTGCTTGTCACCGCGCCTTGGATTTCCATGTCGCGCGCGTCTCCGATGAACGTGCGAACTGTTTTCTTGTTCTTTCCTTAGGTTTTGTTTTTTGTACTTTTTGGGGCCGCCTAAACGACGTCGTTGCCTCTCATATAACTTTGATAATTCTCGCGCGGCATAAAATAGCAAATGTTTTGCACGTTTGCTTTGGTTTGTTCGCTTGTCCAGTATGTCCAGCCTGTCCAGCCTGTCCACGGTCCATGTCCATTCAAATTAATGTGCCACACACTTGATTTTTATTGTCCGGCAGCCAGTGGGGCAAACGCGCGAGCGCGCGCCTCTTTTTCGCTCCCTACCCCTCATTGCCCCTCCTCCCAGCCGACAAGCGGTTGGCCGGCCTGCTCCAATTGCGCCAACACAGCTCCGATTGCGAGCGGTGTGTACGTGATGTTCGTGTCAAGTTGAGACCTTGCATGTGGCATATGTAGCGTGTGAATGAGGGGCAAAGGAGCCGGCCAGTGCTAGCCAGTCCGTCAGTTAGCTAGCTAGTGACTTAGTCCAGTCAATTTATGGCGCGTGCAGTCATTAAGAATTTTGCCAGAATCAACAGAACACGGTGGCTATTGGCAAGCAGCGGCAAACAGCGGCAAGTAGTGAGAGGCCTATGTCCTGTCGATTCGACCCCTTCATATTTTGCGCAAACAAATCATAAATATTAATTTTACGACCTAATTCGACATACGCAATACGTTCCTCCAACTGGATTGCTTCACTCTTTTAATTTTACATTTGCGATTTTCGATTTGCAATTTTCGTTGCCTGGTACTTGGCTCAGTGGTTTGGTGGCAAACGCTCCAGCGACCACCTGTATGTGCATTATATGTTGGCAGCGGCCCGAAAACGCAAACAAACCACAAAATGTTGTTAATGTGCCTCCACCACAGTCATCCGCCGCCCGCCTGCACGGCTTTTTATGGACGACGTGCTTGGCAGGCTCAGAGAACGGCGAGTTGTAAACAACTTTTATTGCTTGCCTGCCCATTCGCCTTGTTTTTCATACTTTTAGTTAGCTGTATTTTATATTTTGTTCACTTTTTATGGCGTGAAACTATTTATTTGTAAGCATATCAAAGGAGCTACTGCAACGGCAACAACAACAGCAACAACAATTGCCATAAAATGTGCTGCATAATTCGCCACAACTGCGCAGCACCGAGATGTTGGACAGACCTTGCATCCCATACCCATGCCAATAGTCATCGCCGTCGTCACACTCAGAGCCAGAGTCACAATCACTTAGGCAGCCTTTTTGCGTCGAAAATTGTTCGTATGATTTGTATTTTTAGAAGTGGAAAATACAAAAATAAATGCAATACGCACAGACACATGGGCGTCAGCGTCAGTCTGTTGTTAGTCAGCCGAAGACGGCGTATTCTTGGTCAGAGAGCAGCGATGCCGACGGACAGTTAAAGACACAGCCATAGTTCAATAGTCTACAATTTCACCAAAATGCAAATCGGACTGACACACACACATACACACACATCCGCACTCTCAGATATGGGAGCGTAAGAGCGTTTGTGCCCATTTTGTGAGTGCTGCCGAGTACTTAAGTATGTAGTGTGTACACGTATGCATGTATAGTACATTTGTATGTGTGTATATCGCACATGAATACTATATGGTTTGTTTAAAACGGATAATACGCATTTCTTCACTCACAGCTGCTTTGCGTCTTTAGTAAACAAATGAGCCAGGAGCTCAACACGTGCTAACTTCTCTCTTTTCCATCCCTCTCACTGCTTGTCCCTTTGTCTTTTTCGGCCCAGCTCTCGTCCTCTCTCTCTCTCCTTCTCTATACCACCCATGACTGATGCACATGTTTCATTAAAAGCTTCTGTCAAGTGCCAGCTACTGATAATGTGATACAAGCTTCACCATCAGCATTTGTAAGCCGACACTCTCTTTGAAGATCGTGGCGCATGTTTCCTGCTTGTAACTCAGTTGAGTAAGTTTTAATGAGTTGATTTGTGTATGGAATCATCAGTAGGGTTGAAAATGGATTGCAGATTCTTTTCAATTGTTCAAAAATGGTATGCTTGTATTATGATTTTCTTTTTTCTTTTCTTTTTTGCATTCAGTGCCGAAATGTGCCTTATCGTGAGAAAGTAGCAAACAGATAAATATATATGAGAGCATCTCTATTCTACTATATACCAAGTGTGTCAATAATAGAAGTATGTAAAACGTAATAACGTAATCTTTGGGTAAAACAGTACATTATGCTGAATTTGTGAATATGGATCTCGTTATGAATGTTTTCATTATTGATTGGGGCAAAAAACAGTGGCATATGTACATATGTATGTACAGTACGCTCGAAAATTCTTTTTGCGAAAACCAACATATATTTTTAAGAAAGTTTTATGTTTAATCATGTTTCGGTTTCACTCCATTTCATATTTCTTTGTTTTATGTTAGATATGATACCCATATGGTAGCCCAATTTATTGTGGCTGAGTTGAAAGTACTTTTGTGCTCTTTTCTTTTATTTGGCTATATTTAAGAATCTTTATTTCTATTCTTTTGCTAACAATAAGTAAATATGCTACTTATAACAATATCTTGCGAGTTTTGCGTATCTGTGCAGGAAAAGTTTCATTCAGAGCTGATTGTCAATTTGCAGAGAAACCACGTAGACAATGTGAAGAACGAAGGCGGTGTGCGGTACGCCGTGGGAGTTGGGAGTCGGGTGGCTGGGGAGCTAGGGTGCTGAAGTCAGTGAGTCAGGCATTGTCCTACGAACCGCGGCATGTGTTGCCAACAGGCGGGCGGCTCCATTGCCGGCTGGTGGCATGGTGGCATGGTGGCTGCTCGCCTCATGGGTTGCTTGCTTGTTTTTGCCGTCGCTTTTGATAGTTGTAAAAATAGAACGTTGTCTCTGATTTTAAGTATTTCGCGTGAAAACTACCAGACGGGACCAGACAGACTTGGCGTGCCAGTAGACACTGACAACAACACCGACGACGGCGACGACGGCAACGATGGCAACGACGACGACGAAGACGAGGAGGATAGCGTTGGCGACTCTTTGGGGTGCGTGCATCGTCATTGCCAGAGATGCCGCCAACGCCGCCGCCTTCAATTGCAAATTTATGTGAATTGAGTCAATTTTTATCGCAGCAAGTGCAGTTAGTTAGTAAGTTATTTGGTCGGATGGTTGTTTGGTTAGTTAGCTTGTTTGTCAGCTGCTGCTTATCTATAAAACTTTGCGGCGCTTGAGCGGCGTAAAGCGTATGGAGGCCGGAGCCACATGCATTTGTCGCGTGTACTTGCGCTTCTGACGTCGCAGATTGCGGTGTTGGCGTCTCAGCTGTCTCAGTTGCCGAGATCTCCTTCGGCCGCACCAGAGCTCGACAAGGAATGTGAGCGAGGCACCCCAAACGCCCACAATGAGGATACCAAAAGGACCTTTCAGGTGTTCGGTGGTCAACACAATGACGTTGTCTGTGAACTCTGGTCGCATCTTGGCAATTCGATTCAGGTACGTGTTATTGTAACGAAAGTCTGCATCAATCTTCTGAAAAATGCCTACGTCTCGCATAAAGCGTATAATGGTATTCATCTCAAAGATGAAGGGAAAGCCCGCCTTCATGATCATCTGTATGGGACTGGAGAATACGTTGTAGGAAAAGGCGTATATGTCGTCCGCAAAGATATTCTGCATTATGTACATCCGATTGCTAAGTATACAGCGCTCGCCGTTCTTCACGGCTAACAGATTCTCGGTGAGCGGAATAAAGGCGGACGTAGTATTGTAGGCGTCGAAGATCCACATGTCGTTCTCATTTTCGAACCAATCGCGACTTTCCTCACGACCTCCAAAGGGAATACCGGCCTCCATAGCTTCCTCAAGCTTATCCAGCTGATGCAAATAACCAGGATCCTGAAAGGTTTCTATCATCTTCGATGTATAAGTGGCTCCTATGTTCAACCCATACAAAGTTAGAGCCATAAAAAAGAGGCGGGTTGACTCACAAAGCGGACGCTCGTAGACAGCGACGCTAATGGATACAGCCAAAGCGTTGATAGCCGTTAGGCTTAGCTGCTGGTAGTACTGTGGCTCAGGTAACACCTGAACCAGAAAGTACCAACTCAACCAGCTGATTAACAGAGTTCCGAACAAGCAAAGCCAAGTCCCCAGTGAAAATATGGCCACCATGGCTTGCCAAGCAGGTCGGTGCTCGGCCAGCCTAATGTACCAAGTATATGCATCCTGCAAGTAGCAGTCGGAGCCCCAGAAGAAATCAGCCACGTCATTGTCGGGGTAAAAGCCGCCTATTATAAAATCGCATTCCCCGTCGGTAAGCTTTCCTAGGAGTCCACTCCAATTGCCAGAACCAGAATCTATGTCGCCGCGGGCCTCTCGTGTGCAGCTTTGATTGATCTACAAAGGGAATAATAATTAGATATTGAACATTACACACAGAAAATGGCTTAGTCATATTGTTTGATTAGCAAACAGGTACAATTCAAAACAAAAAATATTCATATAATAGAGTGAAATTCTATTTTTTCTATTTCGAAAAAAAAAATGTCTAAAAATATATATAGCATGGCGGAAATTTTGAAAAACTTTTTCTGTCTGTCGTACTATAAATTGCTGTTGGCATTTATCAAACTAGAAAGAGACTGCAATTAAATTGATGAAGAATTATTTCTATAATGTCGGGTAATATTATACATTCATTTTTTTATTTATTAAGGCACATATTCAAATAAAGCAAGTAAAAATAAGAACATTCAGAACAGACTGAAATTTATTACTTATATCCCTAAAAGGACAACCTCGAACAAGGTGTTTTAGTATTGATACATCAATTTCAATAATCACATGAAACTAGTTATAGCATTCCACCCATTCTGAACGGAGTATGCAAATTTAGAATTGTTGACAAATAGGATTTTTTTGATGATTTTGTTTTTAGAGTGCATGATTCGGTTCTCTGTCATCTTTTGGTAAAACAGTTAAATAAACATGTCAATAGGTTTACATTCCCCTCTCACTTTATAAAGTTTATAGTAACGCTTACTCTAAACCAATCCTATAATAATCAAACGAATTTTCAATTCATATTGTTGATGATTTTTTTAATGCATTGCAAAATTAATTTCAACAAGTAAAAAAGCTAAAGTCGGGTGTCCCGACTTTGAAATACTCTTTACATATGTTTACAATAATTATAGAAAATAAAAAAAATTAAGAAAATAAAAAAAAATTCAATGATCGAATTTACCTTTCTTGGTATTCGAACTCACGTAAAGGGTATATAATTGCTCATATACAAAGCAATTGCGTCTGTGTGAGTGTATGTATGCCTATGCGCATCAATTCGTGTCTGTGTAAGCATTTTCGCAGTCAACCAAACAGCAACATCAACAACAGCCGCGGGCAGCGCTTGAGCAGCGCTGCAGCAGCAAATATATTTATGGCTATAACTTATTTTTAAATCGGTCTATCATAGTAAAACTTGGCATACGGACACATAATTACTAACTGGGGGTATTTGCAAAATTTTAGTTCGAAATTCCAAGAATTACGGGAGTTAGAGAAAATCGCATTTGCGGGGGACATTTTCTGCGTATTCACACAAGGCATCTTGGACTAAAATTTGGTGTGCCTAGGTCTTATAGTCTCCGAGATATAAGCGATTATACGAATGGAAAATCGGGAAAACCCCCAATCAAAAAAATAAAACAAACTCGTATAGAATACACACATAACGCATCTTTGTGGAAAATTTGGTGTCTCTATCTCTTATAGTCTCTGAGATCCAGGTGTTCATACGGACGGACAGACAGACAGGGCTAGATCGACTCGTCTTGTCACGCTGATCAAGAATATATATACTTTGTGGGGTCTGCCATGCCTCCTTCTGCCTGTTACATTTTTCAGCTCCCGCAAACCTAATATACTCTTGTATATTTCATGTACAGAGTATAAAAAGTTATTGTGAGATACATAGACTTTAAAAAGCAGATGATGCGATGTTTTCATTTTCATTATTTCATTTGATTTTACCCGCAGAAGAGAAACGAATTTAACTCGATAAAATAATTTAATTTGTTAAAAATGAAACTGAAGTTTGAAAACGGAAATGTGTTGAAATGTGAAATTCATATTTTATTGGAATATTTCATGAAAACGCACCTGGAACTGTAGTCGATTCCGCATAAATCCGAGTATGCGCATTTCTAAGCCTAAAACGCAATCGGCCTCCACAAAAGGCGCCGCTATAGTCGCACAAACATCGAAGGTGCAGTTCTTTGGACTGAATCCGGATATGTAATCGGTCATGGCTGCTTGAACCGACTGCGCATCTGGGAACAGCTTGCCGTTGAGACATTGTCCAACACTCTGGACGTTCAAAATTCGGCAGTCCACATTGCTGTAGTAGTCGTTCACCAATAAATTGTACTCGGTGGCCGAGGTGGCAAAGATCAGCGCCACCCGATGCACATAGAAGTTCTGCATAAGATCATTGAAAATTTGGGTGGCCACACTCAGCGGCTTGTGGTGAAACTTGGCGGAGTTGAAAAGTACAAGGAATCGGGCACCTGGATTCCAGGAGCGCATCTGACTAATGTAGTTATCCATTAGGTTGTGCAGGCGCGTCACGCTGTCCACCACAATCACATAGTTGTCGCTCAACAGAATCTCGCCTGCGTTCAGAAGAGTCATTTTGTAGTTCCGATCGGATACCACTCGTAGCTGGAAGATCTCATCCCTGGTTGCGTTCGCTGCAGTCGCAGCCTCGTTGATCACTTTGCTATAGCCGTAAAGAATTTGGTCAGCCGGCGCGGACATGTTGTAGACATTGGCCAGCAGTAGATTGTACGCTCGGGTGAGACGCTCGACCGGCTTGCGATGAAAGAAAATCTGTGCGAACTGATGAAGACATTCGACGCCCACTTGCCAGGTGTGAGGCCCCAGCTCGCTTTCCGGTAACATGTAAATGACCGTGTTGGCCGATTCATTGGACGGATTAACGATGGCCCAAATGCACAGCGGCAATGAAAACAAAACGATTGGCCACATTGTGTGCCATGCCGCGCTGCTAGAGCAACTGATGTTGAGGTGGCAACATGAGGGATAGTCCTCATGCTAATTATCGAGTTGTGCACTCTACACTGGCTAGTGCTCAGATGTGTTGCTTCACATGAGGAGGCCATTTGTAATACTCTTGTTGTGCTACAGAAATGTAAATATAAAGTACACGTATATGTTATGAAAAGATATTGGATACTTATATATAAGTTAAGTCTAACGTAAGATTGATTAGTGTTTGAAAATTATCAAAATACCGTTTAGTAAACTATCTGTCAAAGGGCACCATACAAAGTTTTATACTGATTTATTAGTTAGGTTGTGCCGCAGAATTAGAAGCGAACCTGTATGTTGTGTACGGCAGTCGTTCTCGTCTACTTTTGATTGAAAATAGCCTAAACAAATGTCAGTAATCAGTAATTATACCCTGTACCCGTAGGGTAAAAAGGGTATATTAGGTTTGTGCAAAGTATGTAACATACAGAAGGAAGCATCTCCGACCCCATAAAGTATATATATTCTTGATCAGCATGACGAGAGAAATCGATATAGACATGTCCGTCCGTCTGTCCGTCCGTCTGGATGAACGCGAGGATCTCAGAAACTATAAAAGCTAGAATAACCAAAGTTGGCATCCAGCTTCTCCTAGGTCCGAGTAAGGACGAGTTTATTTTATTTTTTTTAATTTTGCCCCCCTTCCCCCGCTACAGAATTTCGTCAATAGCGTCACATTTCAAATGCTACATAAACCAAACTTTGCACACATAATTTATATTTAATTGTCTACTGTTGTATAAAATTTTATTCAATTCGGTCAATTCTAAGAAAAGTTATTAGCGAAACAAATTCTCCCCAGTACAACCCCCCCAAACTGCAGCAACAAGTTCGCTCTTCTTCTTCCTCTTTTTGCTGCTACTATGGGCGCATATAACTCAGTGACGGAAGTTTACCTGGGTACAGGGTATTACACTGTCGGGCTTGCTCGACTGTAGCGTTCTCTCTTGTTTTTATTTTATTTTTATATTTTATTTTTAAAAATGTATACGCCTTCCTGATTTGCTTCAGCGCTCCTAACAGGACATTGTATTAGAGCATTAAACTTGCGATTAGAATGTAGTTCACATGTCCGAATCGGGTTTGCTTGCATTATGTAATTGCGGCTCGTGTCATCATCAGTCAACAAACAGGCAACAGCAACAACAAAAACAGCTGTATTGGCATCATGCAAGGCTTGAATTAAGCCAAATATTTGCAAAGTCGTTGCGGCGCCAAAACTGAACTGCAAATGGCCGCCAACAATGAAATGCATTAAAACACTCAATCAAACAGGCGGGGGGCGTTGGCAGGCATTGCTGCAGTTGTCCAACAAACACGCAAACATACATAATACACTCAAAAAGTTGAAGGCGTTGAGTCCTTGGGACGCTTGAGAAGCGTGAGGGCGAGGCAAATGCCTTTCTCCGGAAGTAGAGGCTCATAAAACTTTGAGCCGGGGGTCGGCAAATGGCGAGCAGACAAGAAACGCCAGCCAACTCAATGAGTCATCTGACGCAATGGCGCTGGCGGCACTTCTTGTTTGACTGAGGAGCCCCTACCTCCCTCCCTCCCTCATTCTTAACTTGTTTGCTCTTAGTTACGAGTTCGGGTACATTGATGCTTGAAAGGGACAAACATTTGTGTGGCCAAGACATTACCAAATAGGGATCGTAAAAATAAATATAATTCCGGTTACAAAACAAAACGCCTCCGGTTACTCCAGAGAACCCAAGCGGCAGTTATTCGACAACACTTGGCACAAAGCGCTTAGACTCATTTTTGTATAGTCTGTATTTTAAATGTGTGTATGTATGTGTGTGTGTATGTGCATGCAACAAAGTTGCAACGCCGAAAGCGCTGAGTCATTTGCTCAGTAGACGCCGACGGTAAAAGCGGTCAAAACAAATTGCGATTTATATGTTTTTTTTTTTTTTGGTGTCAAGATTTTTGGCAAAGGGCGTCGACTGCTACTCCCTCATGCAACCTTTTCTCACTTCTTTTTTTTTTCTCCCCTCCCTTTTTTCTCCACAGATTTGTGCTGCAATTAAACAAGTCAACGCCGCTGACAATTCAATTCTCGGAGCACGTGGCTCGCAAAATGTACTACAACCAGACAGGTAAGTCGGTTGGGGTCGGACGAGGAGCAAGACCAGCAACTAAACTTTGTCCTCACTAACACAGCCAACATCTTGAAGCCGGCAGCGGCGATGGCTGCAGGAGCTGCTGCTAAGCCTGGGCTCGGATCTGCAGCTGCAACTAGAGGTGGAGAGCGGGCTTCTTTGCATAGCTTGGTGTTGCCCTGTGCCTTGCGCGGCCAATACGATTTATTTGTGCAGGCCCGTCAGCGCGGATCGCTCAAGATTGAAGCGCATGCCTCGCATCCTCATCAGAGTTGGCCACTACTCAATCGGACACATCGCATTAGTATTAAGACTCAGAACCGCGTGCGAAAGCGGCAGCTTATTGTCAAATGGCAACACAGGTGAGTTGAAGAGGACAAATGCTTTCTGTTGTTGTTGAAGAAGGGTGTGTTTCAAACAAACAGAACTTTTCCGATATAAGGCAACCAAATTTCTATCGATCAATGTGTACCAGTAGGGGTACTGAACTATACCGGCTACTACACCTAGCTGCCCGGGTCTTTCCCAGATACCATATTGTTGGCGTGAAGCTAAGCAAAGCTAAAGATTGACCGCAGTCAGTCATAGTATTTTGTTTCTTAACATTATTTCATTATTTTACTAAAATTTCGCTCAAAATTTGAGATATAGCGATCAAGTGCATAACTTTTTATCTTGCTATATTTATCGTGGGAATAGGATATCTTGCAAAGAATTTGTTGAGCTGAAAGCCTGGTGACATAACCAAATATCTCCAAAAGCGTCGCTTTCGAAAAATTTACTTGAATCTGTCTGCAGAAATACTTTGATAATTGTTGATAATCTTGTATTCGGCATAGCATGGTATTTTGTACTAGTATATATAAAAAGTGAGCATTCAAAGCTTCGGTATAAAGAATCGATCATACCGTTTCATTGTGAATAGGATAATTAGGGGTGCTTCTCGGTAACCTAAAGAAACACTGTAATTTTTCGTTTTCGGTATATGACTGTCAATTGCTTTTATTAAGTCCGAAAATTTTAGCTTCAAGTCTGCATAGAAGTTGAAGTTCCGAGCTTTCGCACTAGATATTTAAACTCTTTAACTATAAATAGCGGCTTCACATATAAATGCCAACTTTCGTTTATTAGACGACCTCTTTCTTCACGACGAGTGTTGATCATCTTCTGCAACTGTCGAGGCGTTTCTCTCAAGATCATCTGCGTTCATTAAGGCCTTGTTGGTGGCATGACTAAAAATTAGACATTCAGGAAGGACACTTGTGATGTTATCGATATATAGAGAGAAGAAGGGCTGAATTCTTGAAGATCCTCCTAGTTGCTGAAGTTCAACTTAAGCCTAATCAAGTTTATAATACAGTATGAGCATATACATATGTACAGTATGTTAAGTAAGAGCATGTGGGACGTATTTCGAACACGCTTTATTTTTAAACAACTTTTTGCAGATAATCCTAATAATTGTGCTCAGGAGCAATTGCATTAATACTGATTCTATTCTATTCACAGCCAGAGTCAATAATCCCTTGGCATCTGCGAGGCATGATTTCCACTAAATTTTCAGCATATTCGATTGGAAGCGACTTCCTAATTTTTCGAATTTCACGGAAAGTTGCTAAAGAATTAATAGTCGTTTTCCCTGAAGCCTTTGCTTTATAAATATTCAAGCCTTTTCAATTGGAATGCCATCCGGGCACTGTACTAATAAAAAATTGCGTGTTTTGGCTTACTGACGGATTGGTTATAAATGCACAGGCCAAACGACATAGGCTAGGAAGCTAATATTTGGAGACAAGCTTCCTTTCACAAAGTGTGTAGCTGCGAACTAATTTTTAAAATTTAAGCTCCAAAGCGGGAACACAGATTCCATCATTTTCCTAAAAAAAAATCTGAGTTTTACAACCGAATACCCTCAATCTTAATTATATTACTATAGGAAAGAATACCGAATGAAATTCATATCAAGTTTTAGGAAAAAAATAAATCAATGTGTGCATATGTACAAGTATGTGTGTGTGCGTGTTAACAAGTTGTGAAGTTGCATAAGTTGACCAAATAAAATATTATACACTATAGTAGTAAACAAGAAAGGAATGCTAAAGTCGAGCAGGCTCAAGTCTTCAATACCCTGTACCACCCCACAAAAAAAAAATTGTATTAAAAATGTTTTATTAGTTTAATTAATTAATTTAATTAAATATCAAATATTCCATACATACATTTACATCAGAATCGTGTCTATGCGTGTTTGTGTACTTGTACATATGTATGTGTGCATTACATAATTATGTCAAAGCAGCAACAAATACAGTTTGTGCTTGGTTATATGGCTATAACTTTCTTTCTAATCAACCTATCATAATGAAACTTAGTATACAGATATATCATCATTAACTGAACAAAATCTGAATACCAAGTTTGGTTATTCTAGCTCTTATAGTTTCTGAGATCCTTGTGTTCATACAGACAGACGGACAGACAGACGGACATGGCTATATCGACTCGGCTTGTCATTTTGATCAAGAATATATATACTTTGTGGGGTCTGCCAGTTTTTTCAGTTTTTTTGAAAGTGAGATAATTAGGTCCATGATGTGCTTATTCCAACGTAATTCCAAGCATTTTTAATATATTTACTGTTGGAATAACAATGTTGTTTGATGAGATTTGACTTTGGCATTGGTGCTTGTTACAGATATGTATAGAGTATTCAGAGTTTCACCCCAGTCTAGAATATTTTGGAATAAATTGTCTAAGCTTTTCATGGAATTTTTCTTTTTATTGAAACTTATAATTAATTGAAAATCGTCTGAGTAGCTGCAAAAGGTTATGTCTTTTTGAACATCAATGATTTTGCAAAGCTTGTGGTATACTATTATCGATCGGGACAGAGCCTACTTTAATAATGTTTTTTCTATTAGTTATGAAGTTTTTAATGTATTCTGTTATTTTTGGGTCGACTTGCCATTCAATAAGTTACTCTGTTATTGCATGAACTCCAATTCGGTCGAACGCCTTGGAGAAATCGAGGGAGACGATTGAAGTACAGGTTGCGCCATCTTTTATGTCGGTATGTAAATATTGAATAACTTTGTCATTAGTGAACCGATTGATTTGAGTAGACCAGAGTTGAAAACCTCAGTTCAAGAAATTGTACAGAACCAAATTAAATAAAAATATCTCATTATTGAAAATCAGTTGTTTATTTTCAAAGATATTCAATGTTTACATACCGACATAAAAGATGGCGCACCCTGTATGTGGGTGTGTGTGTGTGTATGTATACTTAGTTGTCCCCAACTGTTTGATATTTTGTATTGTTTGTTCTGCCTGCATTTGTAAAATGCATATTTTGAAAATCCTTGAACGCAAAGTTGTAGATTTAGTTACGTAGATTACAGTCCCCAAATTTGAAATCGATCGGAAAAAATTTATAACACAAACTTTTCATTTGAAAAGGTGAATAAATATTAAAACCCCAATAATTCAAGCTCCACCACAAATTTTGAAAGTATTCAGTTTTGTTTGTATTCTTTTATAGATTATAAAAATCAAATTTAAAGTTGATCGGTGCAGAAATGCAGAATTTTCAAACAAACTTTGGAGCTCGTTTCCCCCCTTTGGAGCTAGAATTTTCCAAAATTCCTTCTTAGTGGGCACCTTCACTATGATAGTATCCTTGAGCCCAAATTTCAGCTTCATAGCTCTTGCCGTTTGGGCTGTGGGCTGTTGACGCGGTTTCCTTTTGTGCCCCATTTTTTAAAAGGAAAACTCCCATATTTCAGTCCCCAAAAAAAAAACAAGTATACAGTGTTTCTTGGAATTGTTCTGAGAGTATACAAACTAAGTTTGAAGTTAATCAGATGAAAACTGTAGATTTTTCATACAAACGTTGGAGCCTGTTTTCCCCCCTTTGGAGCTTGAGTTTTCTTAGTGGGCACCTAGACTATGAAAGGATATTTGAGTCCAAATTTCAGCTTCCCAGCCTTTACCGTTTGGGCTGTGCGTTGATCACCAATCAGTCAGTCAGTCAGGACAAACTGTTTTATATATATAGATGTGTGCAAAGTTTGGTTTAGGTAGCATTTGAAATGTGGACGCTATTGACGAAATTCTGTAGCGGAGGAAGGGGGGGACAATTCCAAAAAATAAAATAAACTCGTCCTTTCTCGGACCTGGATGCCAACTTTGGTTATTCCAGCTTTTATAGTTTCTGAGATCCTCGCGTTCATCCAGACGGACGGACAGACGGACGGACAGACGGACGGACATGTCTAGATCGATTTCATACTGATCAAGAATATATATACTTTATGGGGTCGGAGATGCTTCCTTCTGTATGTTACATACTTTGCACAAACCTAATATACCCTTTTTACCCTACGGGTACAGGGTATAATAAAAAGCTTTAAGAAAGAGAATGCTCAGTTCAGACATGTACTCAAGACCGCCAAAAGATTATCAACTGCCGAATTTACTGCATAAATGAATCGCAATACACCTACATCTAAAATTTGGACAAATATTCGTGTTCTTCATGGTCTCAATCGTATTAAATCCATACATGCAATCACAGATCCATTCTCCAACCAAAATACCACCGACCGCAACCAAATTGCAAACCTCTTAGCCCAATTTTGGGCCGGCTCTGCCAAAGATAGTAACTTCTCACACAGATTCAATTTACACAAAACCAACACTTTAACAATATTTTTCATTCCAAAATACCACAACAATACAAAACCAGCTTAGTCATCCCAGTTAACAAACCCAATTCCGACTAAACACAACCCGACTCATACCGCTCCATATCTCTCAATCAATGCCTCTCTAAAGTATTGGACAAAATTATTGCAAATTATCGCCTGTGGTGGTTCGTTCACCACAACAACTTTTTATGGCAAAATCAATTTGGCTTTAAAAAACACAAATCTGTAGCTGATTTTCTGCTCTATGCAGATCATCTAATTACTGGATCACTTAAAGCAAAAAACATATGTATAAATATATATATATAAATATATAGTATTATTAGTACTTACAATTATACGTTTATTTACTATATGATACAAGGTGCGTTCCAAAGTAAACAGGACTTTTTGAATCCAACAACCCCTGGTGGCGCTATCTATATGTCGACTGGTGCGTTAGAATCTGCTATCTTTATCGATTGTCCAGTGAGAATTTCTTGACATTTCATCGATTGGAAGTGAAGTTATTGCGTTTTAAGTGTCAGTATGTTTGTGTTATCGGTGCGAAAATGAGCTTCGAACAAAGAGCCAACATTAAATTTTGTTTTAAAATTGGTAAAACATTATGTCCTAGCTCTCGAATCGTACCAAAGTAATTTGCTGTTTGGGAAATGAACTCTTCATAAACTTTAGAGAAAGTCGGATGAGAAATATATATTCCAGGACATAATGTTTTACCAATTTTAAAACAAAATTTAATGTTGGCTCTTTGTTCGAAGCTCATTTTCGCACCGATAACACAAACATACTGACACTTAAAACGCAATAACTTCACTTCCAATCGATGAAATGTCAAGAAATTCTCACTGGACAATCGATAAAGATAGCAGATTCTAACGCACCAGTCGACATATACTTGTAGATAGCGCCAACAGGGGTAGTTGGATTCAAAAAGTCCTGTTTACTTTGGAACGCACCTTGTATCATATAGTAAATAAACGTATAATTGTAAGTACTAATAATACTGAGCCAGCAAAGACGGGTAAGACTTGCTAGTGCACTTATATAACAATTATGTTCTTCCCGATTTATTCTTATTTTGACCGATTAGCCATATATCGATATTATTCTGGAGCATACTATTGACAGACAATTCTTCAGCCATGACTGATTTTTCCAATTGTCTACAACGACATTTCTTTTGCAGCAAATTGGATTACCATGCCATGCATTACTGTCTGGTAGTGGTCAGCAATCCGGGTCAACGTGTAGGAGCCGGAAATGCTCCTTTATTTGCTAACTTTTGTGAGGCAGCTTACGCCTACGCTCTCCAGCAGAAACAAAAATCAACAATGCACTGTGCAAGCAATCTGGTGGATCTTGTGTGGGCACGCCAGGCAGACCGTGCTCGTCGTCTAGATGAGCGGCAGAGTCTGCATATCGTTTGTACGGGCTCACGCACCAACCTGCTGTTGCGTGGACTGCAACCTAATACCAGCTATCGGTTGGATGTCTACGGGGTGCATCAGCGCCGGCAGAATCTTACCTTCCATCTGGCCCACACTATGGTACACTTTAATAGGACGCATCCCATAGCGCTGCGGCCGCAGTCACTCTCACAGCTCAAGATCGGGGGAATGCATGGTGTGCAAGTTTATAGTTATAAGGTGCCGCCAGGCACCAGCTATGTAAGGTACTTGCTCCTACCCTGCTCGGGGAGTGAGATCAAAGTGAAGATGCTGCGCCAGCGTCGACTTGTTCACGAAGTGGACAACATCTATAGACCCACCTACATCAAGCTGGAGAGCGTACAGCCGGGCGAACGTTATCTAATGCGGTTTGAGCCAAGCAATGTAGACGAGGAGTTACGGGCGCAGAAAGTACGCGTAAGTATAGCAACAAACTATGTACACACCTGGACAGATTAATTGGTGTGAGAATTTTTTTTCACGAGGCAAGCTTTTTTAACTCGGTACATGAAATGTACTAGAGTATATTAGGTTCGTTATAGCCTGTAAATGAAATGTACAAGAGTAAATTAGGTTTTCGCAAGCTAAAAAATGTAACACACAGAAGGAGGCGTGGCAGGCCCCACAAAGTACTATATATACAAGTATATTCTTGATCAGGGTGACAAGCCGAGTCGATTTAGCCATGTCCGTCCGTCCGTCTGTATGAGCACCTGGGTCTCAGAGACTATAAGAGATAGAGACACTAAATTCCCCCCCCCCCCCACCCCTGGGGGGAAATGGGATTTTCCCGATTTTCGATTAGTATAATCGCCTATATCTCAGAGACAATAAGAGCTATGGACACAAAATTTTAGTCCCAAATGACTTATGTGAATGAATGTGAATGAAAATGTGTACTTTGGAATTTCCCTCCCTCCCCCCTCTCACCAGCAATCACTGATTTTCCATAACTCTCGTATTTCTTGGAATTTTGAAAATATCTCAAGCTAGTGTTTCACAAGTTTCATAATGATAGGGCGATTTAACAGGAAATTACAGCCATATATGTATTTATTACCAAGCAGTGCCAGCAGCTGTTGTTGTTGTTACTGCTTTGCACAGGAACACGAGACATATACAGACACACACGAACACGCGTAGACACGCATAATTATTCTACACATATGTATGTACAGAGTATTTCAAAGTCGGAGCGCACTTAGTACCCTGAACATCCGGCATTATTCTTAATGATCTTGCCGATTCCTGCAGACATAAAGGATACCAACTTCTGAGAAATCTTTACAGGAACGTTGTACCAAACTTTTTGAATATTTTCCCATAACCTACAAATTTATTGCTAGATCAATGGGATGGTCTTAAAATTTCGTAAAGAATGCTCTCCAGCCAGACAAATTCATCGAAATACAGGGAGCACCAAGAAAAACTTCACTAGTGACCGCGAACCGCATCGTTACATTAGCTGACCGCGAACTGTTCATGTCTTTCAGAAAGATTTCAAATTACGAACAATTAGAGCACGAAAAGTAAGCGCAAATCTATCCGGTAGGACTGCTCGCAAAGTTCTCCTGCATTAAACTGCAAAATTGAGGATGAGGTTAAACTTTGCATCCATTCATAAAACCCGATGCGGACCACAGTTATTACTGATTACTCTGAGTATAATAAGAGCTAACAAAATGCCATCGCACTTACTCGTAAAAAAAGTAGACCAGCATTATTAACATAGAAGCCTGATTTTACGGCTAGGGACGGTAAAATATTAAAATATGTACTATATGTTCGGAACAGACAAATATAACTAAAACTCTCCGATATTGAACGATTTCCAGCTGATATGAACTGTTTCTATTCCATAGTTGGCAGTGAGTAGCAGCGGACAGTTTCGGGACTTGCCAGAGCTTCCCCAAAATATCACGGTGTACGACGTGCGCACGCGGTGCACGAGCAGCGTCATCGCCTGGCACGGATCACCGGATCAGCGTACACTAAGGTAGGTCTACTTCGTGTGGCAAGCTGATGGTCAACCTCGAAAAACTGTTCCTTTTCTTTCAGCTACTGTATCATCGTGCTTAATCTGCCGCAGCGCAATAGGAGCTTTGTGGATTACTCCAACTATTGCATGGACTTCGGTGCTCAGAGGGTGCAGAATCTAAGCGATTTCCAGTATATGAAATGTCGCGGAAAACAGCAGAAGTGAGTGTCGGGGCGTTCCATTAATAAATTAGTTCTTTCAATCTCTCATCTCTTTATTCTCAATACGCAGCACGAGTGACCAACTAGAAACGGAAACCATACTCAGCCTCACGCCAGGCGCCAGCTATCTGATCTATGTCACCGCAAATCTGAGTATAGGGAAGCCCCTTCCCTACCAAACGCTCACCGTCCACATGGCCAGTCAGTGCGCGAGTATCGTGGATGCCAGCTACGACTCCCTCGAACAGCTGGCGTATTACTAGGCGTATGCGCGTTGCAACTTAAACTACTCCGTCGTCTTAAAGCTACCTATAACAGAACTAATCCAATACCACTACATACTAAACATACTATATATATATATATATATATATATATATATATATATATATATATATATATATATTATGTATTATATATATATATATATATATATATATATATATATATATATATATATATATATATATATATATATATATATATATATATATATATATATAATACATAATACATAATACATGCAGATTGTGGCGGATATGCGCTAAGCAAAAAAGACTATAGCTATTTAAAATATTGCTAGATACACACATACACGTACGAGAATAAAGCGAGCGTAACTGTTGCATATGCATTTGTGTGTGCTGGTGTGTGACTGCGACTGTAGATGTGTGTGTGTGTGTGAGTGTGTATGTGTGTGTGAGTGTAAGTGCGAGAAGGGGTTAGAGTGTGTGTGGGTTATGCTTTCCAACAAATTCCAGGTAATTGTCGTGCGTACTTCTTAAGCTAGCTTTTAGTGTTTTGTATAAATGATTTACACTTCTTATTGTCAACGATTACTTATTTTTGTGTGTTCATTGTTTAAATTTGTATGAGTAAGGCATAGATGTAATTTGTTTTATTCACGCAAGGCTTTTGCTGTTAAGTTTAACAAAGTTTATTTGTAATCTTTCATTAACTCCTAATTTAGCTTAGCATATACAAACATACATACATATATACAAAACTATATATCTAGACATGTGCATGAGCAGCGAGGCGGGTTGTATTTTTTGATGCCACTTACGCAAAAAGATCGACAATAACTTTAACAAATGTGCTATAATATTGTAGCAAAAGAGCAGATAAAAAATAAGCGCTAAAATTAAATGCTCAAAATATTGATCTAGTACTTTAAGCATATGGCAAAAAATGCTAAATTAAATGGATTACATAAAACTTGTGATGTTTCATTCGAGCCATTTTGAAATCGGACCTATCGAGCTAAGAATTAAACTCATAAAACCCGGTTTGTTTTTGGAAAAATGAATATTTCATAGAAAGGTATTGCAGCCGTGACATCCCAATTAAAATTAACTTGGCTGTACCCAATATTTCTATGGCAAGCAAGTCTCGGTACTAAGGTTGATTTCTGCAGCTATAATTCCTATTTGAAGTAAACTTGCTCTGCGTGTAAAAAAGCCAAGTCTCAATACCACCAAGCTTGGTGTATCCAATATAAAAACGTTGTAAATACTAAATTACTAAATAAGAATTGAATGCAAGAGCTGTGCGCGGCCAATTCTTTAAATTCCACTTATCTACTTCATAATTTTAAATAATTTTCAGTGGTTATACCAAGAAGGCAATGGCAGCTTAGCTTGAATAACTAATAGTTTTGACATTATTGAGAACGAAAGCGTAGAATCCATTGGCAATTGCGTGGCAAGCGTTTAACGCAAAGAGACACTTGTTCCCATAATATGTTACATGTATGGTAATGTGCATGTTCACATCATCGCTCATACTTTTATCAGACATTTGATAACAATAATGTCGTCCATGGTATTTCGAATACGTAACTAAACGTCAACAAACGAATGAAAAATCGTACGATAAGCTATCCAGGCACGAAAATTGATTAAATAAAACAGTCGAAGTCCGACTCTTATATACCCTGTACGCGGATCAAGGTTAAGTAGAATCTAATATGGATTTTTTTATTGCAGCTCTAACTAAAAATACAGGATATTAATAATATATAACTCTATGTTTTTATGTGCCGGAATTATATGTAACGGAATTACGAAAAAAACGCAATAGCTATAAATTGGTATAAATAGGCTCAATTTTTAAAACGACTTGAAAGAGTGTTGATTGGTGGAGGAGGGGGGGGGATGAATATAGTATAGATAGCAAGCCCTTGCTCTACAAGTAATACTCGTCTTGTTAAGCTGATCAAGTATATACATAATTAGCGGGGTGTTGCAAAAACCGATCGATTTCGTAAAGCCTTTCACTTTTCCAGTATAGTGTATAAAAAATGAACGATGGACAATTCAACTGCCACTTTGGGTTTCGATTTTAGTCAAGCGTGGAAGCTCGCAAGGAAAGGCGGTCAAAATCATAGTATACTTTTAGGCTTGTCACGAAATGGCATTATTCCAATGGACACTGGCACAACTGTACGAGAAGTGGGTCGCTGGCATTGCCGAGATCCACGACTATGTACAACAGAGTCCGAGTATACTCATCACAGACCTAAGTCAGATTAGCGCGAACAGGCGGAAAATTCTCATGGGTATTGTTGGGGCTCTCTGTCTGATCGCTTGCATCGGTAACCTGAGTACTCTGTATGTGAATTCCCGACGTAAGCTGCGTCCACTCTTTCGATTTTGTCTGATATCGTTGGCATGCAGTGATCTGTTATCGGCGCTCTTCTCATCCGTGGCATACATGGCGCAGTTCACTGCCCAGTACCTGGAAGTGTGGGTGAGTTTAAAATACGAGTATGTATGCACATATGACAAATAGCTTATATTTATATACGGGTTTGTGCGAGTATATCGTCGAGGAAGTATACTTTGCAGGAAATAAAAAAAAAAAGTACGAGAGTATGGACTAAAATATTAAACATACAATTTTTAAAAATCTTTCACGTTTTCTCCCCGATTGTGATTCCACGAAAGTCGTTGATTATCAAATTCCTTATTTATTAAGGTCGTTAACAAATAATATCGGAACCTTTGTTTATGTTTAAAATTCCAGGTCAAATGTATCTTAATAATTGATAAATGACTATGGTCCTTCTAAATACTTTTTAACAGAAATACACTTTCAAGTACTAATCATTTGATCATTAGATTGTTATGAGGCATTTAAAAAAATTTGTGCTAAATTTCCTTGGACATCTTTCAAAAAAAGTTAAAGTTCCGCTTAAATATTGTACCGGTTGTTGGTGAATAAAATTACTTTGAGCAGCGCAAGTTCGGCTATGCTTTTAAGAAATATCGTCCAATTATTTAACTGGGTATACGTAAGAAACAGCATCCTGTTCAGTGTCAGAACTGGGCCATATTGAAATGGGACCATTCGGGAAGCGCCATCTTTCAAATGGAAAAACAATCATCAAAATCGGTTCAACCAGTCGAAAGTTCTGAGTTAACAATCAAAAATACAGTCGAATTGAGAACATCCTCCTTTACAAAACCTAACCAAACTCTCATCAAAGTTCACTTGAAGTAAATTGATTTCAATAATAAAGAATCATCGAAATCGGTTATTCGTCCATTTGTCACGCACAAACATACTTGATGCACATTTACGACTTATACGGTTTTCGTATGTATGGCACTGTCAGAACTGGACCAAATTGGAAATGGAAAAAGAATCATCCGGACCGATTCGGATGTGCTGAGGTAACAAACAGAAAAAAAAAACATTCATTGATAACCTCCTTTTTTTAAATCGGTTAATAAACAGTGAAATTATGATTCAATAATTAATATCATATTCAGTTTCTTATTGTAGTTTGTAATTATATTGCAGACTTTGGGTCATGTGATGTGCAAATTTATGCCTTTTGCTACAACCGCTGCCATTTTGGCAAGCAGCCTAACATTGGTGGCCATTGCGCTGGATCGCTACATGGTCATCCTGCGTGCAATGCAGAATCTGTGTCAACGCTTGAGCTTCTGTGCCGCCTCCATGGCTGCCATTTGGTTGACCTCCATTGGTACTGCAGTACCGCTCGCTAGGATTTATGCACTGGAGGAGGTCCAGGTGCAGCAGTTGGATAATAACTCCTCGAAAAAGTGGGACCAGAAGGATCAGGAGCTTAGTGTATTGGAAACGGTTAACATGTGCTTATCAGAAGATGTAAGTTAAGCCCATCAACTATGAGGCACTCATTGACAAATGTTTTGCGGTTGCCTTATCTTAAAACATAGTCAAATAGTTATACCCGTGTACTCGTTCGTCGATAACAATTATCATTTTGCTCATTTACGCACAGCACGATGTCGGACTCTATTACGTCATATTGTTCGGCATCATATTCTTGCCCTGCATTGTGGGCTTTATCTGGCTGAATGCGATAATAGCGCGTCAGCTGTGGCTGCGACGACATCAGCAGCAGCGGATACAACAGGATCAGCAGCATCAACATCTCAAATGCCGAATGCACAAGGCGCCCTTGGATATGTCGCCTGGCTTACTGATGGGTCTCCTTCTGCCCTGTACCATGATGACTGCACTAAGTGTAGCCTTGCCTGTCGATGTGACCACGTTGCCCAGCACATGGGCTACTAAAGCCACACCCCCTACACAGACACCGGCAGCGGCTGCGCGGGAGTCACGTCATCGCCAGATGGTGCTTGTCGTGGTCCTTATGATGGCGGTGTTTATTTGCTTGCGCCTGCCCGCTTGGATATTTTTGATAATGCGTCTCTACGGCTCCTTTTCCACGCCCGTGGATTGGTTGCTGTACTTCAGCTTCGGCGTCCTTAACCTGACTAGCTGCGCGTTGAATCCCCTCTTCTATACCTATCTGTTACAGACCATTCGCTATATGTCGCTACTGAAGGAGAAGCTGGGGTACATATTTTGCTGTCGCTGCTGGAAGCAACTTCCACCAGTTGACGACCAGCAGGCAACGAGGAGCAGCAACTGCTGTGGAGTGCTCCAGTTCACGTGGCACTGTCAGCGACGAGATGAGCCTACATTGGAAACAGGAGCTAGCAATTTAGGTCCACCACATCAACTGTATGATTATGAGCGGAACGAGAGACCCCGGGTCACGTCGTTTGAATCTGCCACATAGATGGAGAGAATTTGTATAATAACTTTCTTAGAATTGACCGAATTGAATAAAATTAAACAACAGTAGATAATTATAAATAAATGATGGGTGCAAAGTTTGGTTTAGGTAGCATTCGAAATGTGGACGCTATTGACAAAATTCTATGACGGGAGAAGGGGGAGAAAATTAAAAAAAAATAAAAATAAACTCGTCCTTTCTCGGATCTAGGAGAATCTGGCTACCAACTTTGGTTATTCTAGCTTTTATAGTTTCTGAGATCCTTGCGTTCATCCAGACGGACGGTGAGACGGACGGACGGACATGTCTAGATCGATTTCTCTCGTCATGCTGATTCAGAATATATGTATACACTATATGGGGTCGGAGATGCTTCCTTCTGCATGTTACATACTTTGCACAAACCTAATATACCCTTTTTACCCTACGGGTACAGGGTATAAAAAGTCGTTGATCATATGCATAATGAATAGTGCTAAAGGTAAAATTGATCCAATTTTTTTTTTAATTTTCTAAATTTTTTTTATTTCTATAATTATTTTACAGAGTATTCAAAGTATTTCATAGTCGGGATACCCGACTTTAGCTTTTTTACTTGTTTAAATATATACATACTCGTATTACCAATCCATAGCTGTTGCCGGAATATCACTAATATTTTTAATAGCGTAGGTGTTACAATCATTGAATTTATTTTACCTAGAATTTGTATGACTGATCTGCTGATAAACACAAATTCACATTCGTACTTTTAATTATTAACGCAGACCAGCTTCCGCTTGAAGTTATTTAAACAATGATTTTAGATTTGTTTTTATGATACAACTACAAACCTTAATTATACATCAAACAGAAATAACCGAACCTGAACGGCGTTTTGTGCATTTAAAAATCAAAGCGCACATTTGCAGCTCGAAAGCTCAAAAGCTCGACTGCCGCTTGCCAGTATCGCTGGCCTCTCCATAGTGTAGAAATCAAAAACAGCTGCTTATCCCACAAGCTTGACTCAAAAGTTGCGCTCTTGAAAGCTACACCATCATTCAGTTGCTTTCGGCTGTTCAAGGCGTGCGGTTGCGCTGTTCGGCATTAAAGAGAAACGAGCGCGTGAGAAGCTGAGGCAGCTAGTCGGTGAAATCTACGCCAGCAACAAAAACAACAGCAATAATCAGTGTACATGTGCAAAAGTTTATTGTCGCGGTTGGTCTTTCATAAAATCAACGAAAATAAACAACCTTAGTCATAGTATTGAGATGTATTTAAGCGGGGCCACCAAACAAAGAAGAATCGCGAATTAGAGGCACAAAAGTGCTAAGAATAGAGAATCGAAAGAAAAAGTGACAAACAAAACAGAACAAAATCCCATAAAACGCGTGCCCCAGACACGAAAACAAAATCAAACGAAAAGAAAATACAAAAGGCTCCATTGTTTAGTGCATGTGTTTGTATGCATGTACTATACGTATACGTGTGTGACACATGTGATACTAAAATACCGTTCGTACATCTGTTATAAATTGAGGTAAAAATCGTAAATCTGTGCAGCTGCTACACTATTTTATTTTTTTTCGGAGGGGGGAATTGAAACCAAGCGTTACACATTTTGTCAATGTGGGCATAACAAAGAAGAGCAAAAATTTGCGGGCTATCGGTTGAAATGAAAACACGTTTTAGCATTTCACTTGCCATCGTTGGCGATGTTTATACGCGCAGTTGCGCATGCGCAGAGCCATGCTGCTGTTGTTGTTGCTGTTGCCATTGCGGCTGCTTGCAAAATAGCCGTTATGTGCGGCTCTGGCCATTGTACAACGGCCGTTGGCGGCTATGCTGTAAAGTTGTCAAAGCTTTGTTTCACTTTTTTCTACAAATTGCCTTGTTTAGCTTTAGAATGCCAATTCTCTCTTTCAATCTTCCCCAGTCGCTCATTATCGCTCTCGAGTCTAGTCGCCGTTTAATTTAATTTTGTTATTCAGTCGGCGTCAGCAGGCGTAAAACTTCTTAGTGCGTTTGGTCTGGGCTGGTTGGTTACGTACCGCTTTCATTATTTATAGCCACCTTTGGATTTGGCCGTGATTTCTGTTTCAATCGTGCGTGGCCCCCATTTCCCGCGTTTCGATAGCAGCTCCGCATTAATTAAAAAATGAAACAATGAGAATCTAGGCCAATCCCCACAAATTATCTCCACCTCTTCTCAGATAAATGTATAAATACATTCATACATATGTATCTACATAAAGATATAGATATGTAAGTATTTTATATTTGTTAATGCTATGTGGCGTATCTTAAAGTTAGGTTAGATAACAAAAGTTGATGGTGCGCCCACAGCTCAAGAAAATTCACTTTCGTTTTCATTTTTTTTTTTTTCTAAAGGCACTTTTCAGAGCCTCTTAATTGTTATAAAACGACACACGCGTATATACATATTTATATATATATATATACAAAGATTAAGACATTAGGCGCAGCGTGACGCCTGCACCGTTACACAATAGCTGCATAATAGAGACAAGCCATTTAGCACATTTCCCCAAGCAACAACATTTTCATTTTCATCTACAAAAAGAAAAAAGGCAACAACAAGATTACGATATCAAAATCATCTCTAAAGAAAGTGAAAGCTGGGCGCACAATTAAATATATATGGAACCGTTGTTGTTTTGGTTGGAATCGTTTCTGTTGCCACTACGGCCTTTCTATTATTGGCTGCCCTTACAGCCGTGCACTGAATGCCCAATAAGCATGTCATTCGATGGACAATTATGGGAAAGCTATAAACAAACAAGACAAGAGCCCGGCATTGAGTCAAAAAGTGTGCCAAAAGTTGTTCACGTGCACAACCGGTTTCCGAGAGTTTTGTAAATCATTTCCTTTTCCCTTTTTTATTTGTAATACCTGGGGTTGATTCCAAAAATATTTTGCATGCGACGTTTTATCGCTGAAACTTGACCTGCATATCTCGGTCTTAGTTATAGCAGCTTCTCAGACTTAACCTTGCCTAGACCGAAACAAGTTTCTTGTTGCAATGCCCAGAGCCATGGCAGTCGCAGCCCTGCCGATGAGTTAATATAGTGTTCAAGCGTCCGCCATCAAAGCTTATCTAGCCCATTGAACTCTTTTACGAGTAGTTGTGGGCTACTTACTTAGCGCCTCGACTGAGGCACTTTCGATTTTCACAGAAAAGACATTGGTTTGTCGAGACCTTACTCCACCATTAGTCCCCCGTCTGGGACGATTTCACTGCGTAAGTACGGAGGCCAATGTACGTACTGTTGGGCCTTACCGGCATGCCAATTACCATGCCAGCGGCCAAAGGCAGCGTCGCACTCGCAATTGAGGCCTCCAAAGCAATGTTTTGCGTCTACATACTCGTTCATTGAAATTATGCATAAGACGTATTCGTACATACCTCACACTATAGTAGTACATAAGATATACATATGTATATGAATACAAACATACGTTCACATACTCACACATTGTCACAAATGGCCTTAAGCTTTTGCTAGCGGGAGATACAAAATAAACAGCAAACAAATCAATTTACACATGTTGCATTGTTGCCGCTTTTATTGGCATTGTTGTTGTTATTGTTTTGTGCGTGTCATGTGATGCTAACAAGTGAGCTGAGTCTGAGCAACTCAGCGGGCACTGATAGGATAGGATAGCATAGGATAGAATGTCAAAATAATATTAGCTGATAAGCAAGGGCTCTACTCAAAATTCATACATTCATTAACTGATTAAATGATTGTTGATAAGTCGCCAAAATAGGCCGCTGTGCTACTATACTTCCCCGTTTTTAAATAACACAAAAGCATATCATTCCAGTGGAAGCTATCAGGTCGTGCCCATCTTATAATTACAATTATATATTTATTTATTTTTTTTATTCATTGTAAATTCCTATGTGATGTGATAACACTATTCGAACTTAGATTACAGCCATAGCTCGATGACCTTAAGCTAGACTTAGAGCTAGTTAAATATTTACAGAAGAAGGAATTTATAGTTTTTAGGGTATTTGTGGAAGCGTTTAACGAACGGGTAATGACCAATTTGACTGATTGACCTTAGATGACCGTTCTTGTATATTATGTAGTAACGGAAGATGTATAAATATTTGTTATAATTATTAATAATAATTGGCATTATTTCTTATGTCAGCCACTTGTGTTTGGATAGTCGTGTTTTTAAGTACATATGTACATATGTATGTGTGCGATAATGAGCGGGATGTTTCCGATCCAAAAGCTGCTCTTTGAAGTTGGCGATTTCGTGAAAACATCGTTTCCCAAAATATTTGTGTTGGGTTCCCGGATCTTGAAAAAATCAGTTGGCAGATTGTGGAACATTAGAGGGATATGCTCAGAATTGATTCAATTGAAGGTAGTAAATCTGGGCATATGCAGTATTTATGTTTTGATGTTTTTGCAAATTTAATTGCTTTTGTTTTCGCTGTGTAGTTATATGGAGCTCAAATATGGGAGCAGACCTTTGGCAATCGTGAAGTTGAGGTAAGCATCCATGGTGGGTGTGAGCCTCCTAAATGCTTTAGATCATTTATTTAAGTAGAAGATCAATGCTCGAAATTGTTGAAACTTAATAAAAACTATGTTATTTATGGGGGTTTCTCGAAAAGCGCCGAGAGACATTCTTAGAGCGGAGTGGTAATCGTAATTGAGTAGTAGTCACTCAATTCTTCGGCTTGTCATGAAATTTAGAATGTATTGAATGATTGTTGGGGTTATTATAGCCTGTACCCAAAGGTTAAAAGGCTATATTCGTTTTGTGCGAATGTATGTAACACACAGAAGGAGGCGTGTCAGACCCCACAAAGTATATATATTATTGATCAGGATGACAAGAGAAGTCGATATAGCTATGTCCATCTGTCCGTCCGTCCGACCTTCCGTCTGTCTGTCTGTCTGTATGAGCGGAACGATCTCAGCAAGTACAATAGCTACGATAACCAAACTCGGTATCCAGATTCCCATAAGCCCTAAGCAGGTCAAGTTTATTTTTATACCCTGTACCCGTAGGGTAAAAAGGGTATATTAGGTTTGTGCAAAGTATGTAACATGCAGAAGGAAGCATCTCCGACCCCATAAAGTATATATATTCTGAATCAGCATGACGAGAGAAATCGATCTAGACATGTCCGTCCGTCCGTCTGTCCGTCTGGATGAACGCGAGGATCTCAGAAACTATAAAAGCTAGAATAACCAAAGTTGGCATCCAGATTCTCCTAGATCCGAGTAAGGACGAGTTTATTTTTTTTTTTTTTAATTTTCCCCCCCTTCCCCTGCTGCAGAATTTCGTCAATAGCGTCCACATTTCAAATGGTACCTAAACCAAACTTTGCACACATAATTTATAAATAATTATCTACTGTTGTTCAATTATTCAATTCTGTCAATTCTAAGAAAAGTTATTAGCGAAACAAATTCTCGCCAGTACAACCCCCACAAACTGCAGCAACAAGTTCGCTCTTCTTCTTCCTCTTTTTGCTGCTGCTTTGGGCGCATATAACTCAGTGACGGAAGTTTACCTGGGTACAGGGTATTACACTGTCGGGCTTGCTCGACTGTAGCGTTCTCTCTTGTTATAACTTCCGTAATTCTTGGAATTTTGAAATCAATTTTTACATCCAGTTAGTGCTTATGTGGCCGTGTGACCTATCATCATGATAGGCCAATTCTGAAGAAAGTTATAGCCATAAATAAAATCGCTGCTCATGCGCTGCCTGCAGCTCTGCTGGCAGCGCTGCCCGCAGCCGTTGTTGTTGTTGTTGCTGCTTTGGTTCAACTTTGTGTTCTTCTTGTTTAATATTTGCATTTTGTCGCGAGTAGAAAGTATTGCTTTCCTTCCGGATCTTCGCTTAACTCTATATTTTGCTGGATCTTTCAAAATCTTCGCGATTACTGTGCGACTTTGCCCAATCGCACGTGAAATTTGGTTATTATTCAATCCAGATTTAAAATAGGCCATTATTAAGCCTTTTTCTTGGTTAGATAAAAGGTTTAATCACGCCATTAAATAAAAATGTCCTATTTTTATTTTTTTAATGTAAAACACCAAAAATTTACTGAACTGTTAAGATTGGTTGCAATTTTTAATATGTGTCTTATCATTATGATACAGTTGCAAATAGGCAAAAATGTGAGCTTCTTAGTAATGCTAATGGTACTTTCTCAAGCTTATCTCAAACAAGAAAGGAATGCTAAAGTCGAGCAGGCTCAACTCTTAAATACCCTGTACCACCCCACAAAAAAGAAATTAAATTAATTAATTAATTTAATTTAATTAATTAACTAAATTAATTTAATTAATTAACTAAATTAAATATAAAATATTCCATGCATGCATACATACATTTACATCAGAATCGTGCCTTATGCGTGTTTGTGTACTTGTACATATGTATGTATGTGTGCATTGGGCCTGGTTATATGGCTATAACTTTTTTTCCAATCATTGGTATACGGATATATAATCACTAACCTAATGTGACTACCAAAT